ATCCCCAAACTTCTTCAGGATCCCAGTTGGGGATAGGACTGTCGTGATACGCCCTGTTGGCTGAAGGCTGGAACCTGGAAATGGGAGACCGGATACCCTTGGTCCCCCTAAAATGCCATAGGTTGTTTTTTTTTTTGCAGCCTCTCCGCGCGGCCATAACTTGGTACATAAATTCCCCATGGGTTATGTGGCACATTGAACCATGTACCGTAGCTGGTCAAGTTATGCATAACCCATCCCCTGCCGCCAGGATGGCAGCCGACCTTTATGGAAACACAAAATCGGCCCAAGGATTTCTTGGAGGCGCCGGAAGATGCTGAAAGATGGCGCCTTCCGAATTGCAGATGTGATATACTGGATTGGTAGACATGGGGTTTTCACCTATTGATTTTGATTACATATGATATATACACATGTCATATATCATAAATATGTATATAATATGTATATCTATATATTACGATATTAGAGTATCTTACAGAATACTCACAGCATGTTTCTGATCCTCATGCGCATTGCGCCAGCCATTGAAAAGCTTCGTTACACCCCCTGGACGCCACGGGATCCCCCGTTACGTGATAGCTGTGCCACTGCGAGCGACTGCAGCCATGACCCGTCCTGTACGCGGCTTGATCAGCTTGGTGGCAACTTGGCAGTGGAACATTGGAAAGGCTGCACTTGATGCACAGATCAACACAGATCCTGGGTCTTTCTGTGAATCCCAATATTTGCGATGCTCACAATCTCCTTGTTGACCCCCCGTGAGTTTGTGTTGATAAAGCTGATGAAGCTCCCAAGTTTCAGTTGACAAACATGCACGAAGATGAATCCAAATGATGCTTGGTGAAATTTAGAGAGTGAGTGGTTACTGTAAATCTTCCTAAATCACCAATTTTCCAAGATTGATAGTTTTGTATAGTTTTGTATTATATCATCCCATTCATATATATATATATACATATGATATATATTATTTTTTGATATATACGTACACACACACACACAAACATATATATATATACACATACATATCCCATTCATATCCCATGTTTCATGACGCTTTGAGGTCGCTTGGTTCTTCCTGGCACCCTTCGCTCCTGCTTTCGTCAACTTCCAGTGAGATGCCTCAGTCAGCGCAGACCACTGGACTACCAGATTTTGAGCCCATACCCAAATGAACAGTGGCTGCTAAACCCCTGTTGGTTGATGATTATATAGAGATATAATATACATATATATATATATACACATAATATAACATATATATAATATATAATATAATATAATATAATATAATATAATAGTTAGGGTAGGCCTTGCCCATCTTCCTATCATCACATAACCCTGCACCCCCCCCTACACTTTCACCATCATTTCATAACAATCTCATAAAAACCATCATTCAAAAACATCATTCAACCAAGATTTCAAAACAACATCTCAAAACAAACCTTCCAACCCATCATTCAACAAAAAATCAAAACAACATCTCAAAAACATCATTCAAAAATAAATTTCAAAACAGTCTCAACAATAACCATAACACAAATCATTTTGAAGATGTAAGCCAACATAGTAATCTTCAAAAGGATTTTCAACAAGTAACCTACATAACCAAAATTCATCATCAACCAAATACGGGCAAGGCCCCCCTCATAGAATTTACCAAAACATTTTACATAACACTTTATGAAGATTTCTTTTAATATATTCTTTCCCTGAAAAGGTGGATTTTCCAAGAAATCTTCATTAAGTATTATGCTAATGTTTCTTTAAAAGGGTTTTACAAAAAATATATATCATTTTTGCACATTGCGAAAAAGTAATTGAAAAAAACTGGTTTCAAAAGTTCCTACCAAGGTTCAAGTATAAACAAGTTTCCGGTTAAATGCCCTTGAAAAATACTAGCACCCCGTTGCACACGAACATGTTAATGTCAAGGGTATTTGCTTAAAAACGAGCCGTATCTTACTCATTATGAGAAATGAAGTCTAGGAGAAATAGACACAAAAAAATTCAATAGCAATTGTTGGAAAAATAATTCTGGAAGTAATATTAATTTTGCTTTTGGTTCACTCATTACCTACAACTACAATTACACCTGTCGCAATATGGTATTATATTGTCCAATGTATGGGTATATTCATTATTAACCCTTTGAGCGGTTAGGTTTGTTGTTATATTTCCCCCTTTTATACTTATGAAATCCACATCCACAATAATTACATTGGTTAGTTATATTACTAAAAAACCATTCAACATTTACATAACCTTCTTTTGGTATTTTTCTTTTTGCTTTTCTGTCCTGTTGCTTGTAATTTTCAATTTTTTTTCTTTCATATTTGCTTTTCATGCATTTATAGTTGAAATCATCATTTACATCATCACTATATTTATAAATTTTACCTTGTTTAAATCCCTTGCTCTTGTAATTGCAGTCCATAGCCACTCTCTATATTTTTTAATGTCATAATGGTTATAATCAAAAATTGTTATGTCTCCATCTATGCTACTACCTTGGGCTGAATGGCAGGTAGTGCAATGGGCGAATATGAAATTATCCCTTACCTTTTGAATTTTTAAGGATTGTAGTATATTAGTTTTAGTGTTTTTCAATGTCATCACTCCATCCTTTCCAATATGAACTATTTTGTATTTAAAATTTACATTGAATACTGACGTTTGAGTTTTAGTATATTCTCTACATATCAGGAATTCACCTACTTCATATTCATCTTTTCTATTTTCCAATTTCCTAATTTCACTTGCTACATTCTTACAAGTATCAACTTTGAACCACTTATACTAGTAGTATATCTGAAAAATTTTTCAACGATTTCCTTGAAAGGAAGTTTATTTACAAAAATATCAGTTTTTACATTGCTTAATTTGTCCTTATCCTCTTGTGTTTTCAATCTCTTACATTCTTTTAATAATATACTATTTGTAAAAATATTGTTAATGATGTGGTCTGCATATACTTCATACTCTTGAATGTTAGTTAGTGGTTGAATAGGTTTTAATTGCTTGGTGTCCCCGGTAGCAATTACTATTTTGTTGTGCTTATTGTCTTCTACGAATTGCTTTATTCTCCAATAAGTGCTTAAACTACTAAAATAAATCTCATCAAACACTAAAACATCATACCCTGAATAATCAAATGGTTCTAACTTTACATCACCAAAACTTATACCAAAAAACTTATTTAATGTTAAGGCGTCTCCTTCAAATTCTTGTAGTAATCTATTAGTAGGACATACAAATATTACCTTATAACCTTTATCTACCATTTTCTGACAGATAAATGATTTTCCAGTTCCTGGATAAACACCCCTTATCATCATTGGATTATGCCCCTTAATAACTTCAATGATATTATCAGTGTCGTATTCATTTTTAATTTCAATGACTGTATGTTTATAAGTTGGTATTTCAACCTTTTCATTTTTTGCAATTTCATATTCTACACTTGGTAATTTAATATCTTCATACTTGCTAATTCTCCATCCTCCAATTCCATTATGGAAGTCCAATATCTTTTTTGTTCTCTCCTCATCACATCTTTTAATTACGAAGGCATCAGTTTTAACACTACATACATCAACACCATTACTTCTTAACTTATAATAGTCCTGATACATTTTAAAGTTATGATATTGTAAAAGTAATTCTTTAATGTATCTAAAACCATTTTGTAATTGCGCTTTGTCCTTCAAATTTAATACATAATAACTTTCACCTTCACTATCATATTCCCTAATTTCTAAACTGTCATCCCTTTTAGTTTCAATATGTTCAACTTCAACATCAGTCAGTTTATGTATTTTGCCTCCATATTCTGTTTGATAGTTCACTGCTTCCCTTAGGTGCTTAAAAATCATGCTTTTTTGACTGGTTGAGCCCCCTTTTTCCAGAAGTCCAAAATTTATATTGGCAATGAGTTTTTTGATAGTCTTGTCCAAATCGGAATTGCTACTGATTTCATGCTTCCATAATTCATCAATGATTTCTTTGTAATTACATTTATATGTTCTTGAAGGTTGCTTGTAATACAAAATTCTGATTTTACCACACATAACCTTTTTCAAAAATGAGCCATATATCAAGCAATATTTTTTGTTGAATAAAAGCTTTCGGTTGAATAGTTCCTCCTGAACCTCAACATAATATAAAGTTAAATCATGTAATGTTGTAATATCAATGTTGTCAGTATAAACTTGCCAAATGTCAAACTGATTGAATACTGGAATTTCATTCATACTCATAAATGCTAATGTAAATGCCTTGGATACATCAGCTTCAAAAACATCAGTTGGAAAGGCCTTAGCGGAACAAAAAAGACCTGATGGAACTATCGTCCTTGCTTCATTCAATATTGCTACATCAATGTCATTGTAGAAGGATTTGTGTAATGGATTAAATAAAGACTTATTGAAATTAAACATTGCCTTATTCATTCTGTTGTATGTTATTTCATCATCAACTGCTATACATCCATCACATGATGACTTAATCAAATTTTGAGTTTTTAAAATGAATTTTGTTTTGCCTAATTTTAGTCTGATTTCTGTAACGATTGTTTGGAAACTTATTCTTGGTTCATATCCACTTTTAACCAGCTGAAAGAATACCTCAGTTAAATTGTTATTTTCTAAAACTATATTTATTTCTTCATTCTCCTCGCCCTTGATTTCTAATATCTCATTTATATCTTTAATCATTCTGAATTCGGGCGGTTCATCCTTTTCATTTTGTGATTCATGGAACACTCTAACCTCTAGGATGTACAGTTGCTGGTATGCCAAGGTCCAAGGTGTAGAAGGGTGAGTTTCGTTTTTACAAGCATGGCCCCTGCACTCAGGATGACATGTACATGGCTAAACGCTCCGCTACTTCTGATGGCTCAAGAAAAATCCGTGCTGCAGCCTATGGGGTGCTGCAGGTGACCACTTTTAACCCCCAAAGGTTACGAGCCCAAGGAGGCGCTCTGCTGCGTGGCCATGTCATTGCTGCAGCGTCGACGTGGAGGGATGAGTGGTGAGTCAGCCGATGAAGCCTTGGACCGCATGATCGCCCAGACTCAAGAGGAGGGAGAGAGAAGAAGAGCTCTGTCTGCTCCTAGGAGGATGGAAGGTGGTGTGCGGAGGTTGGAAATTCAGGCTGGAGCAGAGGGAGATGGACGAGCTCAAGGTCGAGAAGGTGAGGTGGCGAGGCCTGCTGGTTTGCCACAAGCTTTAGGGCCTGAAGCTCCTCCGGTGGCAGCTCAGCAGGAATTGCCGGGTGGTGGGAGATCGACAATGGTGGTAGGACCGCTTCTTCGGGGTGTGGCGCAAGATGTGGCTGGTGCGGTGGGTAACCAACTGCAAGCTTTGGGGACACTTTTTCCTGGAGCTCAAGTCCGTTCTTGTGTACCTCAAGGTGGTCCTCCTGGTGTCCTTCCTCTACAAGGTCTTCATGCTGAACTACATCAACGCAGTGGTCAGGGGATCAATGACCAAGGTGGTGGCTGTCCGAGTGGAGGGCATGTGGGCGGTGCTATGTTGGGACCTTTGGCTGAGCCTTTGCCGCCGTTGGTAGCTTTTCAGCTGCCGCAGCAGCAACAGATGGGATCAGCCGCGAGTCCACACCCGCCAGTGTTTCATCCTTCAGGTAGCCAACCAGCTCAGGGATTAGGAGTGATGGTGACTCCAGTCCGAGAACCTCGAGACCTGCAGTCAGTACCCATGGTGAGCCCGGTTCCCATGCAAATGGTGAGCCCGGTTCCCATGCAGGCATTGGCTGGAGGGGGGAACCCAGCTCCTGTTGGAACAGATCCATCGGGAGGGACTCAGATGATGATGGACCCAGCTGCGATGGCAGTTGAGGAGATCAGAAAGCGGGTGATGCGGGAGGCAGAGGAAGCTTTCGCCAAGGAGGTGAGAAGGCTTCAAGGTCAGACCGAGGAAACCCAATCGTACCAGTCAGCATCCAGTGGAGCTGGACAGGGACAGGCCGTGGTTGGCCAGGCCTTGGGAACTTCTCAGCCGTTGGGAGGAGTCGGTGGAATGCCGTCTCCACCTCCAGGGATTGATCCGGGATTCCAAGGAAGGAATCAAGCTGGGCTAGCTCAGCCGGGACCATCTCTGACTGAGGCTTTGAGGGCCCTGGAGCTACCAAAGCTTCCCACACCGGGAAGTGAAGGTGCGTCCATCCAGTTCGGGGATTGGATGACTGTGGTGCATCCACTGATGAGTGATCTTTCTGGAAGTGCTGGAGAATGGTGGAGTCTGACAGTGAAAACTGTGGAACACCACTATCAGCAGTGGCTGGTTGCCACGCCGCTGGAGAAGCTGCGCATGAAACCAGGATCACCAGTGATCGGTGAAGGCTACGCAAGACTGGAACAGCGGTCAGTATCTATGTTGCTAGCTGCTTTGCCAGAAGGTTTGCGACAGGACGTCATAGCATCGCGGCGTCTCTCGACGGTCGGGATTCTGTTCCGATTGTTTACCACCTTTCAACCTGGTGGTTCGGGTGAAAGGACAGGATTGATCAAGTCCATCAGCGAGGCCAAGGTGCCAGCAGGTTTGGTGGAACTGCTGGGGTCCGTTCGGCAATGGCGCCGATCAGTGGGAAGGTCGGAGGAGCTGAGTGTAACAGTGGATCCTCTGGTTCTGACAGGTGTGTTGTCGAAGTTCGCTGACGGAGCTTCAAGATTGGGTGGAAGTCAGGTGGCGTTCCGCTTGGCGACCATGCGCCAACAGCTGGACGTAGATAGAGCTCCAAGCCTTGGTTCGGTCAAAGAATGGGCCGAGTACATCCAAGCTGAGCTGGAAGAGTTGGCTAATGCGCAGACTGCTGGGAAGGCGACGCCGTCGAATCCGCCAGCGTTGGCTCCGGTGCTGACGCAGGGGAATCCGGCTGTCAAGGCCTTCACGGGGGAAGGGCAGAAGCCATGGGAGAGGCCAGAAGGTGAGAAAGCGCCGTGTCGTTTCTGGGGCACTGACGAAGGGTGTCGCAGGGGTGAGAAGTGCGGTTTTGCACACGCCTGGGGAACGTTGGAGAAATCCTCAAGGTGCTTGCTTTGCTCATCAACAGGCCACCGTAAAAGGGATTGTCCCACAGCCAAGCCTAAAGATGGAAATGGCTGGACACAGAAAGGTGACCGGAAGGTCGCTAAGGTCCTCAATAAGAAAGGGGAGAAGAGCACTGAAAAGGAGAGCCAAAAAGAGTCAACAGTAGTGAAGGAGGCAGCGGAGGAAAATCCGCAACCGGAAAAAAGATCTGAGGGTTCCCAGCCCAAGCAGGAAGGTGACTTGGTGCAGAACCTCAACGGTCTGGTTAAGTCCATGACGTCGATCAAATCGGTCTTCATCAAGACGGTAAAAATGGACAAGGAGTGCGGAGGAGAGTACGCCTTGCTAGATGGGGGGGCGACTCACGCATTGCGACAGGCGAAGAGCTCCGAAGTTCCGCATCTTTGGCCAGTCCAAGTTGAAATGGCGATGGGAAGTGTCACGCTCTATCGGTGCGCAGCGCACAATACGCTGTTGGCACTGAATAACGTGGAACCCATAATTCCATTGCGGCTGCTAGTAGATCACGGATTCAAGATCGACTGGCAGAAGGATCGCTGTGACATCTCACACCCGAAACATGGGAACCTGCAGTGTGTCAGACGCCAAGGGTGTCCAGTGATGGACAGAAGTGAAGCCTTGAGTCTCTTGGAGTCACTTGAGAATGGTGGAGTGGGAGACTACTGTGAGCCACCGGCTCAGGAGATCGAATGGTGGAAGGAGAAGTATCCACAGGTCCCTGAGAGAATCTGGTCTTTGATGAGGGGCCAAGGGCTGAACTGGGAAGAAATTACCTCCCCTTTGCCTTGGAATAGGGCAAAGCGGAGGAGGTTGGAAAGAGCTCGAGGTGGTGTGGTGATCCATCTTTTCTCTGGGTCCGGGGGAGAATCCAGGAGATGGCGGGATCTCACGGGATCAGACACCGAGGTGCTGACCGTTGACATCTCATCGAACGCTCAAGAAGATCTACACGCCGCTGGGGTGTGGGCGTATCTGTGGGGATTGGCTGAAAGGGGCCGGATCCGGATGATAACCGCCGGACCGCCATGCAGGACAGTGAGTCGTCTTAGGCATAAGATCCCAGGTCCTCGCCCTTTGCGTGGCAGAAAGAATCACAGATTCGCTTTGGATGAGCTAACGGAAAGAGAAATGACAAAGGTGGATGGAGATACCGCCCTGTGGTTGAAAACTCTTGGTCTCTATGAGAAATCTCAAGAGGGAATGGTGGCGAATGGCATTCTGGGTCAGTGTGGTCTTCTGGTGGAAAGTCCCCAAGATCCATGCGAGTATGTGGAAGATGGGAAAGAGTATCCGTCCTTCTGGGAATGGGAGGAAACAGAAGATTTCTTGAAACGAAACCCAGACATGTTCAAGGTCAGGGTGGACCAAGGGGCTCTAGGGCACCCACGCCCCAAACCCACAACGCTTCTGACCAACATAGTCCAGCTGAAGGAACTTGATGGGATTACCTCGAAGGAATCTGGAGAGAGTGTGTGCATGGATCTCCGGGAGCGGCTGAAGCAGACGGCTTCTTGGTCTGCATGGGCTCCAGGTCTGATGGCTGCTCTCAAGATTGTGATACCCAAATTTCTGGCGAGCCAGGCTCAGCAACCGATGCTGAGCAAGTTGGACTTAGCGGGATGGAAGAAGCATCTGCAGGCACAACACGTGCCATACCGGCGGGACTGTAAGGTCTGCTTGGAAACCATGGGCTCGGCTGAGCCACATCGCCGAAAGAGGGGTCAAGAATCCGCCTTTGTGATGTCTGTAGACATCTGTGGTCCGTTCAAAAAGGGCACCGACCTTGGTGTCTCCAAACGCAGAAAGGTAAAGTATGCCTTGCTGGCGACTATCCCTGTGCCTCAGTGGCCAAGTCCGGGGGAGAAGGAGGATTCCACGGAGGCGGTGGAACCTCAAAAGGAAGAAGTTGTTCCCGAAGCTGAGGAAGTGGAAGCCTCCGGGGAGCTTCTTTTGGCTCCAGAGCCCAGGGATCTGATCCCAGAGGAAGAAGCCCGGAAGAGAAACCAGGCTTGGGAAGAGTTCGTCAAAAAGGAAGTCAAGGAGATATCCAAGGATGTTCCACTGGTGAACATCACCTTCATGGAGCCACTTGCGTCTCGTCACCAGCCAAATTACAAAGGCACTGTCCAAAGTGCATGCCCGGGCGAGGAGCCTTGGCATACCCATTTACCGTGTGCACTCTGATCGGGAGCGATCTTTCACAACCAATCACGTGGCCAAGTGGTGCGAAATGCGCCAGGTCCATCAAACTTTCAATGCAGGCGATGAGCCTGAAGCCAATGGACGAATTGAAGGGGAAATCAACCAATTCAAGCGTCGACTTCGCCTTTTGTTGGCAGAAACGGGAGTGAGTCATGACTACTGGCGATGCGCGGCCCGACACGGAGTCGAGGAACGATTGCGTGCCCAAATGAGAAAGTTGGGGGCCAAGTGTAAGGAGATGCCACCCTTTGCTGTGTTGGCTCAGGTTAAGGCCAAACTGTGGCATCGTCGAAAAGAAGGGGCGTTGTCATCCCCTTATAAGACGCTTCGAATTATGGGCCCTTCACCTCAGATGACTAACGGTTGGGTTGCTCTTGATGAAGAAGCCAACCTTGTGCAGCACGCACGGTCCGTGTTCATTCCTGATCCTCTTGGAGAAACAGCTCGTTTGGAGCTGGAAACGGTCGATGATCCCAAGGATCCTCCCAAAAGACGTCTCAATGGGAAGCAGCCACTGGTTGTGGAGGTTTCCAAGATCCCTTTACCACCTCCTAGGGAGGACCGTGAACTTGAGTCATTGTTGGCTGTGGCCGACGCTGAGGAAGAAGATGGGTATGAGCCCTCTATCTTGTCTGACTCTGAGTTGGTTCCACCTGAGGCAGAATTGGGATTGCCAGCTCTCATGGCCTTACGAGCTGGGGGGGAGTCTCTTGTGGATGGAACTCAACTTGAAGGTTGGGGGGAGATCGAAAAGACGGAAGTAGAGGAGTATGTGAATGAGCTCCGCTACCAGCACTGCAATCTGAGAAAACTTCTGCAGGAACAGGTGAATGCAGTCGCTGGGACAGAAGAAGAAGGTGCGGCGCAAGGACAAGTCGTGCAACACGTGAGTACCCAAGTGAGATGGCTGGAAAGTGAATTGGAGCATTATTCCCGGATCGAAGAAGAAGGTGCCAAGGTGGAGGCATTGGAAGCTGAAGAGTGTGAGAGACATGCCCGAATCGCAGCTTTGTCGACGGATGGCCAACCAGGGGATGAGAACCAAGGTGTGAGCAGGCCCCCGACGGTCTTGCAAACCTACACTATCCCCTTGACGATGGTAAAGCGGGATATGGAATCCTGGATTGAACCAATTAAGGCCGAGTACAACCCGCTTGTGTATGAAAGCCAGGCGGTGAAACCGGTTAAGCTTAGTGAGTTGGAGGCCATGGAAGGCTATCAAGACATGGAGCTAGCACCAAGCAAGTTGGTTGCCACAGTTAAATCGCCAAATGGGAAACGCAAGGCACGGATTGTGATCTGTGGAAACCTGGTGACGAAGGCTCACGAGGATGGCAACAAGACTCAGGCGACTCCAGTGACGGCAGCGGACTTGTACGCTGGAGGAGCTGATGCCACCGCCATTCGATGCATGGTCAGAAAGACCGCCATGATGGATGGGTGGGACATGGGAGTCCTAGATATCAAGGGCGCGTTCTTGCTTGCCCCACGCCGAAGGGAGCAGGAGTGCCTGATGATGACCATCCCACCGAAGCTGCTGGTGCAGGCTGGGATCTGTCCGCCGGAAGAGAGGTGGGTGATCCAAAAGGCGATGTATGGCCTGAAGACCAGTCCGGCCGACTGGAGTAGCTTCCGCGACCAAAGGGTCAAGAAATTTGAGTGGAGCTCAAACGGTAGGTCTTTCTGGATGCGTCAAACGGTCGAACCAAATGTCTGGCAACTCGTGTCGAGCGAGGAGCCAGGAAGAGCGGACTCGGATGAACGGGTAGAAGGTTTTTGTACCTTCTATGTCGATGATGTCCTGGTCTGTGGACCAACTGAAGTAATCAAGGGATGTCTGAACCGAATAAACCAGGAGTGGAACTGCTCCGAAGCGGAGTATCTCTCAGAAAAGGGAATGTTGAGATTCTGTGGGATGGAGTTGAAGCTGCACCCGAGGGGCGGCATCCTCCTTTCCCAAGAATCCTACACCAAGGATGTGTTGGATCGGTACCCAGATGTACCAGAAGCGCTGGTACCAATTGCAAGGACTGAGGATGTTGAGGAATCACCACCGGAGCCTGCAGATGTCAAAAGGGCGCAGACTCTGGTCGGCGAACTTTTGTGGGTAAGCACAAAGACGCGGCCGGACGTGGCCTATGCAGTGAGTTGGATGGGTTCCCGAGCATCCAAATGTCCGAAGAGGGTTTGCCAACTTGGTAGGCAGACGCTTGGCTACTTAAAGGCCACAGTGGGTCATGGTCTGCTATACCAAAAGTGTCAAGAGGCCGACCGTGGGCCGAATGGGAATTTGGCATTCTGCAGGGATGCCAATACGTTGGAAGTCCACTCGGATGCGTCATTCGGTCCAGGAGGGGAGAGGTCCCACCAGGGTCTCCTTGCTGTCTGGGCAGGTGGTTTGATCCAGTGGGAAAGTAAGCGACAGAGTTTTGCTACGCTGAGCAGCTCTGAGTCTGAAGTCACTTCGTACGTGGACGCTATGAGCCTTGGAGACTCGGTGGCGGTCTTGGTTGACCTTTTTGAGGAAGGAAGGTTAACAGAAAAGGGAACCAGAGTGTTGTACGGTGATTCTCAATCGGGAATCCAGGTCGTACTTAACCCAAATGGACCGTGGAGATCGAGACATCTCAGGCTGCGCTCTAGGGCGTTGCACGAAGCGGTACAACAGGAGGTGTGGAAGGTGAAACACATGGCGGGTGTGGAACTTGCGGCAGATTTCCTGACGAAGCCAATCACCGTTGGGGCTACTTGGCCAAGATTCCGGAGGTTTGCAGGGCTCTACGACATGGCTGAGCCGGAGGACCTGGAGACCTTGAAGAAGATTGGAATCTGTAGAGAATGGGCTCTGAAGGGGCTGACTGTAGCTGTAGAGCTTGAAAGGTGGAAACCGACCACTGAAGAGCACCACCGGATTAGGAGGTTAGGGATCTGTGCAGTAGCAGCTGGTGTGTGCCATGTTGTACAAAGATGGAAGTCTCACCTTTGTTGTCTCAAAAGAAAGTCAAGAACGCCGAGGGAAAATGAACCCGGCATAGGAACCCAACTTACTGAAACAAGATGGCCGAGGGAAAATGAACCCGGTCCAAACCACCAATTGCTGAGGGAAAATGAACCCAGCATAAAGAAAACCCTGAAACCACAAAGTCCCACCTCTTTTGGGGAATTTGATTTTGGGAAATCGATTTTTGGGGATAACGTGGTTGACGGCACTTGTGAAAACGACTTCAGTGGCGAAGGTGCACAGGTTTTCAACTCCGGTGTGACTGTTGCCGGGTTCAGGAACTACTGCCCTTCGGGCTGCCCCAGTGTCCGGGCGCTCCGTGCTGAAGCCATGGCGACCAGCGTTGCTGATGCTGGTGGCGAGGGTGGAGATGGTCCTGGTGATGGTGGAGATGATCGTAAGCCGTGGCCGAAGAGCTCCATGGACGATGACATCTACACCGGGGAGAAAAAGAAAAGGAAGAGAAAGAAGAAAAACAAGGCCGCGAAGGCTGATCAAGGTGAAGAGAAGGGCCCAAGTGCAGAGGCCTGTGATGGAGAAGAGAAGGAAGATGAGTGGCCGAGCTGGGAAAACAGAAAGCTTGAGGAGTCCGAGGAAACAGTCGCAGGGGAGCCAGGGCCTGTGACGTTGATGCAGGCTACTCCGAAGACAGCGACGAGTGCTGCTCCGCTACCAGCTCCTCTACCTCCTCAAGACAACGAACCTACTGGCGAAGAGGTTCCGACTGCGACGGGCAGTCAGCCAGCCTCTTCTCAGGGGCCTGAGAACCCAGATGGAACCACTTACACTGTCCGTGGTCATGGTCGCCGCGACATTGAGTCAGGCTTCTTTTGGGGAGGCGAAAAGATCGTGGTATCCTTTGTGAATGCGGATGGTGACCTGGAAATTCGCAGAGGTGACGGTTTGATCGAGATCCGTCCCCTTGATGAGCCAGAAGGAAAAGGGAAAGGAAAGAACGGGCCAGAGGTCATCAGCTCTGGTGAAGAGAATGAAGAAGCGAACAGCGACCCAACTGGTCCCAAAGGAAAAGGAAAACCCGTTCCCGAACCTCTGCTACCACCGAGGCGAGGCAGCGTGGGCTCTTCAACTGCCAGTGGCGATGGCCTTGGATCTTCAACCGACCGACCAGTTCCTAGTGGAGATCGCCGGCAGTCTTTGGGAAAAGGAAAAGGCCAGGGGACGACTCCAGGCGCCGCTGAGGATGACGATGATGATGCCTGGGGAAACTGGACTTCTCAGGGTTTGCATGGAGCTGGAGAACCGGAAGGCGAGCCTCCAGCTGAAGACCATCCACCTGATGAGGAAGAAAATGAGGACTATGACATCCATGCGAGAAAGGACCTGGATGATGGCTCGGGAACCAAGCGTCCTCCGCCTGATAGTGGGTCCTACAGCATGAAGGCTATGTGAGTCACTGTGGATGCGGCCACGGCACCGTGGGAACTACCTGAGTTCTCGACGCCTCCGCCGACTGGGAAGAAGGACAGATGGGAAAGTTCCTGGATCCAACGTGGATGGCTTGTTAGAGTCCACAGGGATCCAAGGAAACGCACTTTCCAGCCCATCCACCGTGCCTCTCCGGTTGCAGGTGGAGATCTTCTTCCTCTACGTGTGACTGTGGGCTTCGAGGAGGATACCAACCGCCGCTT